ATCTAACACAAAACATCGACCTCTTTGCGTGTTATTTTCCTGTATGACGTCACTTCATTATGACCTTGCGATCTGTGTGCCCTCTTGGGTTTGAGTTTCTCACTTTGGTGACTGTGGAGAGTATTGTGTTCTGAGATGATATAATGCCGTCTAGAATATTAGAATTTTACGGACATTTCGTAAGTAAGTACTGCTTCCATCTTCGGGGAACATTTATTGAGTACGTTCTTCCGAAACGTTGCATGCTCAGACCATCAAGGTGACGTACTACGTACTTCCTAAACGACGGTAAACGTCTAGCAGACTACACAGCGTTACTTCCCATATAGGGTTCAGCAGCACCCGAAAGCAAAAACCGTTGTACTACATCTGCACTGACTGGACGCTTTACCTGGGTCCTGGTCGTCCCTTCATACTAGAACTCTAAATTTTCAGCATCATGTCTAAGTACTATTTGTCTTATCCCTCCATGACGCTATTAATTACCTGTAAAATGAAGATAGGTAAAGCTATCCCTGTGACCATAAGGTTATGAGACGTCCAGTCTCCCACATTTTCTGCACAATAGGCTCACAGATGTCGGGGAGGTCAGCCTTACGCGCCGGCCGCTGTTTACCCCCCAGGAAGAATCCTGGTACTCATTTCTCTTAGAGGCTGAGTCGACCCCAGGGCCATATTGCGGCTACGAGGATTAGGTAAATTGAAAAGAATCCAGTAACTTAATCCGGAATCGAACCCGCGACATTCTGGCTTGTAGCATAGTGCCTCAACCAACTACGCTACGGTTAATTACCTGTACGAAGAAAAAAGAGGCATTTAAGAAGCGCGATGAAATGAACAACCCAAGCTGTAAGGCAGATGTTTGTGCTTGATATCCGTTATCATTTCGCAGGCAGTATTTACATTTGAAACCACAGAGCAAGAAGTTGTGATGCTCTTTGTGCAAACAGGATTTACGTAGAGTTCAAACCTATACAGAGCTGTAAGTTGTCACTTATCTCTTGTGGTTTTGTTTAAAAATTAAACCGGATTCTCAGTTTTCATCTGAGCCCATCAAGTGTTAAGTCATGTTTTGCAATAAACACTCCTACTTACCGCGACATTCTGTGACTTCGCTGTTAGTAACCATGTGTCTCTTTTTAAAGCACGGTGAATTGCTCCATGTATGACTTGAGTTGACGTAAGGTAAAATTTGCGTTTGCCAACAGCACCCGAGATAGAGAGTTAGTCCGTATAGCGACTAGGTTACAGATTGGACGACCCATGAATCGGTGTTCGTTTCCCGGGAGAGCCGTAAGATTTTTCCATTCTCCATACCTTTTAGACCGGCTCTGGGGCCCTCCCAGGGATATTGTGAATAAAGCGGCAGGGGCGTGGAACTGACCTTTCTTTCTCCTGCTGATGATGGTAACGCGTGAAATTGTACTATACATCCACGCCTGTTGTTAACACGGTAATGAACCTTTGGGTTCCGTAAAATTCGGGGGTATTTCTTGAGTAGCTGTGCGACCGGCGGTTTGTCAAGAAGATGTTAGTGGCCGTCCCAACGCTCACGGTTTCCCACCGTGGCGGCTCGGGTTCGAGCCCATGTCAGGTAATGTGGGATTTGTGGTGGACAAAGTGGCACTACTTAGGTTTCCCATGCCAATTCGCATTCCACCGACTGCTCCACAAACATCATCTACATCTGGGGCTGGTACAATAGGCCAAACAGTGGTCGCAGTACCAAGTGGACTCAGTCTCAGCCCATGAGAAAAAAAAAAGTTAAGGCCAAGTTTATACAGGTTGATGCTAAATTATCGGGCGCTGTCCGTGGCATATAAACGGAAACCGCGACAAGAATTTAGAATCGTCCTGTATAACGCACATAGGCGTTATCATTTATTCATCGAGCTGAACGTTTGTGGTAATCTTTGATTATTTTCTTCGGCCAGAAGTCCGGATTTCCTTAGGATTTCGTGGTTTTCCTCATACCCTCCAGGAAATGTCAGAAGGTCTGACTCAAATTAGGTCATGACCGCTTGCCCCTCTTTGCTTCCAAATTCACTGATCATCCTTTGACGCCGTATATTCCGAGCTGCTGACATCGTAAATAAAATGGAAGAATGTCACTGTATTCCATACCCAGTACTATGCTCCTCTGTTCACCTGTTAGATGACGATATTTCACTGTGTCTGCCTGTAGATATAATCTCCTTGTGACCGTTTGGCGTTAATATTTGTTGTAATTAACATCATGAAAAATCTATTGAGAATGTTGAATAGTAAGGTTACAGGAAACTAGAACTTGTATCAAACATATGTGAAACTAATATATCGTCTGAGCGATATTTTTGAAACTAAATTTAAGAATGAAATTACTTCTTTAATGCAAAATCTGTGTTTGTTTTTTGCTGCATAAATGTTTAATTGACCGAAGAGAGAGGAAGTGACAGGATGTTGGAGAAAACTGCATAGTGAGGAGCTTCATAACTTGTACCCTTCGCCAGGTTTAATTAGAATGATCCAAGTCAAGGTGGATGAGGTGGGCAGGGCGTGTAACACGAATGGGGGAGAAATGGAATGCTTATAGGATATTGGTGGGAAAGCCAGAAGAAAAGAGACCACAAGGAAAACCAAGGCGTAGGTGGGTGGACAGTATTGGAATGCATCTTAGAGAGATAGGATGGGATGGTATGGATTCGATAGATCTGGCTCAGGATAGGGACCAGTTGAGGGCTCTTGTGAACACGGTAAGGAACTTAGGGTTCCATAAAATGCTGGGAAATTCTTGAATAGCTGCAGATTTGGTTTCTCCTCAAGAAGGGCTCAGCTCCATAAGTAAGTAAATGTTTAATTGTAGGTCGAACCTTTGATAAGCCCAGACATTGTTCATCTTCTGCTGAAATGAGACGATTTCTGTCTTTGCTCGTGATGTTTTTAAACAAGAAGTTTGCTCACAGATGTAAGAAGTCACAAACTGCAGCCATATGTGTATTGTTTTCCTGTGAATTGCAGGATATTTTTGTTTCACAGAAATCCAGAACTTGTCCAGGGATAGGTCAGTAAATCTCATGATGAGCGCACGATCAGACTGCTTCCTCTTCTGTTAAAGTGAAGTTCTCAAGTTCTCAGGCTGAGAAGCTGAGTCAGATCAAAGGCTCTTCACACAGCCTTACACTTGTGTTGGAAGGGAAATTATAAATTATATTTAATTTTGCTCCGCAGTTCCTGAGGTGGTTTCCAATAAGACTCGAAACTTGCTGATATGCTTCTTCACCCCCAAGCCCCAGCAGCAGTGGGAGCATTTCAAGGTTTCATTTCACAACATCCCTCCCCCCACCAAGATTCAATTTCTATTTAAATCCCAGAATCTTGTCACTTGAAGTCAAAAACATTTTCTCCTGAGCCTTACAGAGACTCGTTCAACTGGTTCATGTGATGCAAAACATCTAAGTAGGCTAGTTCATCCAGCCATTCTTCTCTTTCAAAGCTCTTTGCGTAATCATCTGGCCTACTGTTCTCTTGGAAGTAATTTTGTAATTCAGCTTTCAACTCACACTGTGGACACCGCGTCCTCCGGTAGGACACCAGGTTTCTATATATAACAGCAGATTTATGTGTTGTTTGTCCACGTTTTCACACTTCTTTTAACGTTCCGGAGTGAACTGCTCTTTGTTTCATAAAATTAACCATTTTGCAGCATCATCCACAACTGTCTTCATTTCATCNCTTACACATTTCTCCCACAGACATTTTGTTTCCAGATATGAAAAAAAAATCCGTGGCTTGCAGTCCGCAGGTGAACTATACCGACTGAGCGACCGCCGCTTGTCGGCGAAGTTGGTGCCAACTTTTGTGGATAGAGGGTGTCACGTGGTCAGTGCAACGGATTCTCACGGCCGTTAATCTCGTTTTCCTAGACCGGAGCCGCTATTTCCTTGAAATAGCTCCTCAATTATCCTCACGAGGCTGAGTGAACCCAGTTCCAGACCCACTAATTAGAAAATATGCTAGCGCTGGGAATCGAAGCCGGGACCTCTGAATCTGTAGACAATGTAGACAATCTGTAGAACTTTGACAATTAGACCACAGAGGCGGTCGTCCAGATATGAAAACACGACATTATATATACTTTCCCTTAATATTAAACATTAAAATTAGGCGAAGTGTATAAAATAGACTGCAGATGGCTTGATCTTGGTGTGCCCGTCATGATAGATTATGTTGTTGTTTCGTCGGTGTTACGTATCTGGCAGATAGAAGCGATACGTGTATGTCTGTATTATGGGTGTTTTGATGTTGGTGACTATGACGAATGCCGTCTTCTCGGATGTGACGACGTGCAGATCTTGTGAGAACCGACGTTTCGGAGGAGCCTATCGTAGACTGCAGAAACATGCTAGCGCTGGTTCCTCGCTCGCGGAATTTGCTACGCTGAAGATGGAGGCTATACGTTTCACCGAAACGTCGGTTCGCGTCACGTCCCAGAAGACGGCGTTCTTTCGGTTCTGAATAGTTTTGCATACTGTGGGTGTAGAGTAGCGGTGGCTTTGTGTGTTTAATTAATATTAGTTTTATTTACTGAAAAACTGTTGTGTTGACGGCCACGTTTGTACAGTTTTTTTATTGCTAGTGGGGTGGTACCAAGTCCCTTGTACTGCGGCCACTTCTGGCCTATTGTACCAGCCCCAGATGATAGGTGAGGGTGATTGTGGAGCAATTGGTGGAATGAAGATTGGCAGGGAAAACCGAACTACTCGGAGAAAACCTGCCCCAGCCCCACTTTGTCTACCACAAATCCCACTTGACCAGACCTGGGATAGAACCCGGGCCGCCGCGGTGGGAAGCCAGTGACTAACTGCTTGAGCTATGGCACGGCCCTGCGTTTGTACCGTTAGTAGAGTAAGATTTGCCTGTAGCGAACCCATTTCTTGTGTCGTCATGTAGAAGTCCATCAGCATTCGTTCACCGCATGGGTGCAGAAGTAGCATGCAACTGACGTGCGTGTTTGTCCACAGTACCGCTGCCAGCTGCCGGCCTGGGTAAAGCCATCTCGCCAGGATCTGGCGTTGACGGTGTCGGCGGAGGGGCTGGGGGCGCCGGGACTCCAGGAATAGGGACCGACTACTTCATCAAATGCCCACAGTGCCACAAAGGTTACCCAGGATTTCAAGCGCTGAAGGAGCATGTGGAGTCAAGCCATCCGCCCCCATCACATCTCGGGGGTGGTGATGATGTCGTGTCCCAACCCACGTCACCAGTCGGTTCTCCTGCCCCGAACAGCTCGGCTCCAGGCGTCGGGTATGCTTGTTCCCAGTGTAACACTAGTTTCCTGCATAAAGATCAGCTGGAGCAACATGAATTGGTCCATTCTCCAAACGCCCAGGTGGTGAGTATTGACGTCCTGATTAATGCCTTACTCGAGAAGAGTGGTTCTGTAATGCTTTCATGCACATTTATCCTTATCCGCACTGTCTGTCATACCAACATTTTCTCAATAATATACCAAATGATTATAGATGTGGGCATAAAAATCAGAATATACAAAACTTTAATTTTGCCTGTTGTTCTGTATGGGTGTGAAACTTGGTCTCTGACATTAAGGGACGAACAAAGGCTGAGGGTGTTTGAGAACAGGGCGTTGAGGAGAATATTTGGACCGAAGAGAGATGAAGTGACAGGAGGTTGGAGAAAACTGCACAGTGAGGAGTTTAATAACTTGTACTCTTCTCCAAGTATAATTAGAATTATCAAGTCAAGGAGGATGAGGTGGGCAGGGCATGTAGCACGAATAGGGGGACAAGGAATGCGTATAGGATATTGGTGGGAAAGCCAGAAGGAAAGAGACCACTGGGAAGACCAAGGCGTAGGTGGGTGGACAGTATTAGAATGGATCTTAGAGAGATAGGATGGGATGGTATGGATTGGATAGATCTGGCTCAGGATAGGGACCAGTGGAGGGCTGTTGTGAACACGGTAATGAAACTTCGGGTTCCATAAAATGCTGGGAAATTCTTGAGTAGCTGCAGAATTGGCGGCTCCTCCAGAAGGGCTCAGCTTCATAAGTAAGTAAGTAAGTAAGTAAGTAAGTAAGAAAGTGAGTAAGTGTGAGACTAAATTACATGGCACAACAACATGAGATGGGTCTATTGCACGAGTTCTTGTTGACGTGGGTGATAATAGCCCGAGTAACGATCATTCGTAAAATGATAATTGCCAGGGTAGTAATAACCTGCTCGACGTGAAACCCGTTGCATTGACAATTTTTATCCAAAACTGAAAATCGAACGGGTGTCACTGCCGTGCGAAGCATGTGACTATCGACCCAGCTGTACAGCGCTTTCCGTGCTACGAACGACATAAAATCCGGTATTATCAGTGTAGTTAGTTAGTTATTAGAGAGGTTGGGTTTCCCCATGCACTGAGACCTGTATTGGTCCATTGTGCTTCCCTCTATGATTTCTACCAGTCTCTATATCCTACCGGTACTGGTGCTTACCATCAGTCCCGCCCAGCCAGCGAGACCGGCTCTACTAGCTGAGAGGTATCTATAATGCTTCCCCCATCTACAAGAGGTATTAGAGACTGCTTTTGGGCGGGAAACGTCCGTTAATTTGGCTCAGTGACCTCCTTTGGAGATATGAGGTTCTTTTACGTGACGTAAAGCTACGACACGGGACCCACGGCTTAAAGTCCCTCCCGGAGGACTTGTTCCCTGAATTTTTCCGCCCTTAAAAATTTGACGACCTCCGCCGGGTATTTGAACCCGCGTACTACGAGTCATGAGGTGGGAACGTTACCTCTAGACTACGGAGGCCGCTTATTATTAGTGTAAATGAAACACTTCTGCCATATGGACTCCTCCCAGCGCAATCGTCTCTGTGGAAACGTGCTCCAACAGTTCTGCACCAATGCAATGGATTCACATGTCACATTGCTCCCTCCTTAAGGCGCCAGGTCCCGAATAGCCTAACGGTGTTCGAATCCCACTCACGGCATGGATATCGGTATGCGTTTGTTTTGTGTTGTTCTCTGTGTAGCTAGCGGCCTTGCTACAAGCTGATCCCCCGTCCAAGGAGTCCTACTGACTGTGTATAGGATTAAGAAACTGCAAAAGGTCCAACAGAGGACTGTAGAGCTATTAACAGACATGAGTAAATGTTTACCAGCATTTCGGAGGAACCTGCCACCTCATTTTCCTATTACTTACTTGAAGACTGAAGCGGCACTTTCTTCCACATAGAAGCTGTAGGTTTGTCTAGAAGTAAAGACAGAGAAATCTAAGAATCTGTTGCTGTCTCATCAGACTGCACAGCCATACAATGAAATAAAGACAGCTAATGGATCCTTTGAAAATGTGGCACATGAACTGAGGGTGCTAGGGAGTATATTTGGACAGAAGAGAGATGAAGTGACGAGAGTCTGGAGAAAACTGCTTAATGAGGAGTTTCATAACTTGTACTCTTTGCCAGAATGTTCAGATAAAGCTGAATATTTTGGAAAGCCGGATGGAAAGAGACCACTAGGAAGACGACGTTAAGTGGGAGAATATTATTAAAATGGATCTTAAGAGAACTAGGATGGAGGTAGTACAGACTCGATTTATCTGACTCAAGGTAGGGACCATTGGCAAACTCTTGTGAACACGGTAATGAATCATGGAGTTATATTTCACGCTTGTGAACAAAGGATTTGATATTGGTTTTAGCACAGAAACCTTTGGAAACATTTTCAGTGTGTTGCACCGTGAAACCTACATTGAAACAAGTTCATATGAACAAGTTGGGAAACAGCAAAGCAAACAGTGTTTAATGTGCTGTTTAATTAGTATTTTCGCTACCCAAACAGTAGTTGAAGTATCAATTTTGAACTGTATTTGCTGTGGAAACATTTCCCTAGGGACTGAACGATTGTGATCCGTAAGTTAATATTTTCGGTTCGTAGAACATGGTGTGCCGATCACAGTGACTGCGCGGTCTAAGGCATGAACCGACTTCGCCCCCTCGACCACTGGGATCGTCGGTTCGTATTCCGCTCATGGCATGGGTGTCTGCGTGTGTGTAACCTGTTGTCCATCCACCTATGTCTTGGTCTTCCTAGTGGTGTCTTTCCTTCTGGCTTTGCATTCTAGTTCTCATCTGTTCTACATACCCTGTCGATCTCATCCTCCTTGACTTGATCACTGTAATTGTACTTGGAGAAGAGTACAAGTTATGACGCTCCTCCTCGTGCAGTTTTCTCCAACCTCCTGTGAGTTCATATTTCTTCGGCCCGAATATTCTCCTCAACACCCTGTTTTCAAACACCTTCAGTCTGTGTTCCTCCCTTAATGTCAGAGACCAAGTTTCACACCCATACAGAACCACAGGCAAAATTATAGTTCTGTATATTGTAATTTTTATGTATATAGACAGCAGACGGGAAGGCAAAAGGTTCTGGACTGTGAATAATAGGAAGCATTAGCCGAGTTCAGTCTCCTCTTAATTTCCTCCTGAATCAGGTTTTGATTTGTTATAGTCGTTAGCAAATATCTGAGCTGTGCCACATTTTCAAAACATCTGTTTCCTATCTTTATGTTATGATTTCCCTGCCAATTAGTGGCCGCCGTGCCGAGTGGGCCCAGTTGGACTCCACCCCCACTAACCGAATTTTTAGTGTTACTTGGTCCATTCGTCTGTTTGTTTCTAAGGAAGAAGCAGTACATTAAGGAGATGTTTCATTCACCCAGAAAGGTTAAACGTTAAGGATGTGTCTTTGAGGCCATTTGCTGCTTCTTGTGCCGCATTTGAGCTTCAGCTTTATGTCCTCATGGCTACGGTCTGTATATTCACTGCACTTCAATAATATTTTCAGAGGCAGCAAAATAACATATGTGAATATGGAGAGCTTCTGGAAGCTAATTGACAAAACATAACTCATTTGATAGGTCAGCCCGCCATTCTGCTGTCATTAACAGTTTCAGAACTTGAGTCACAATAAGGCGGCACTCATGCCTGCTCCCACCCCTCGCGCTAACGCAAGAGAGACAGAAAAGGTTCATATATTAGGTCAATTTTTTGGTCGCATCCATTTCTATTTCGTCATATCTAAATTTATCATCCTGCAGACGCTGTTGCCTGCCTGCCTGCTTGCCCGACTGTATTTCTATTTTTTTTTTTTTTTCAGTTATTACTGTTGCTTCTGTGAGCATGTTTGTACAGTGGGATGCCGAACTGTTTCTGACCATACATGAACACTGTTCGTTGTAATGCGAATACATGTGTTCGGTAAACATACCTTTGAGTGTCTTTTAAACACAGCGATCCGGAAACTGGGATTGTTTCCTACCTTGTGAGGCACGTTTTACGGAATTTTGCTTCAGTTTATTCGATTTTTCCCATTTATCTCAAAGCAGCGGAACATGAAGACGTGAAAACATTTCAGTCGAAATCTTAAACAGAATATGTACCGTTAATAATCTTTTTATGGGTTACGCGGTAGCATAGATGGTTGAGGTACTATGCTACAAGTCGGAAGGTGGCGAGTTCGATTCTCGATGAGGTAGCTTTTGTTCAGTTGAACTAATCCTTCCAGCCGCTCTATGGTCATGGGATCGACTCAGCCTCTAAGAGAAATGAGTACCAGGAATCTTCCTGTGGGGTAAAAGATGGCCGGCGCGTATGGCTAACAACCTCACCGTCATCTCTGAGCCGAATGTCTAGAGAAAATGTGGGAACCCCAACGTCTCACAGCCCTATGGGCCTTCACGGCCTGTTACAGGGTAGCTTTACCTTTCTTTTTACCTTTATTAACTAAATGTTTCGACGTATGAGGTAATCATCAGGTGTTTTGAAATCATAAATCATAAACGAGGATACTGCTTTGCTTCCGTATCGTGGTTTTTGGTAGCTGCTATGCAGCCCATTCTGAGCGCATGTGTATACGAAGTGACGGGTTCTGCTTGTGTGTTATGCTGCGCGTCCCTCTTAACGAGAGGACTGTTGATCCTGTCGAGTTCTGAACCCGATTTGCCCTCTTAACAAAACTTTATGCCTTGCGATAAAGGAGATTAACCCTTTAGAGTGTGATCACCTCAGTGTTAATTAGAGACCAAACACGAATAAATATGAAACAATCGTTTACGAATTTCGGGCCGCGACATAGCTCAAGCGTTTAGTCGCTGGCTTCCCACCGCGGCGGCCCGGGTTTGATCCCGGGTCTGGTCAAGTAGGATTTGTGGTGGACAAAGTGGCGCTGGGGCAGGTTTTCTCTGAGTACTTCGGTTTCCCCTGCCAATCTTCATTCCACCAATTGCTCCACAATCACCCTCACCTATCATCTGGGGCTGGTACAATAGGCCAGAAGTGGCCGCAGTCAGCCAGTAAGTGTTGGTGTCAAGCCCCACCTGGG